TGTGATTTACTGCAGTGGGATCTTAGCAGGGTGCAATTTGGATCGGTGGCAAGCGGGCGCGACTGGAGGAGCGATCCCTAGTGGCTGGGAGATGAAACATCGAGTGACCGCCGTCGAGGAAAGGGCACGCGATGATGTCGAGCGCCGGCACAGCGGAGCCGGAAAGGACGTTGCTGGGGCCGGAAAGAGGCGGGAGTCGCACGCCTCAAGAGAGAGAGTTACCACCAAAGTGCCGAAGAAAGCACCCCGCCAGAAAAACCGCCAATACCTGAGCCAACAGAAAAAAAAGAAGAAGAAGAAGAACACCACCAACCACCACCATAGGGGTGCCGGTAGGTCACCCCACCCCGTACAAATATGTCGCCCTAGTTAGGGAATAAAATGGTGACTAGCACCGACCTGTAAGCCGCTCAGAGACCCCCTAGACAGGGGGTTTGAGCAGGATATAAAGTCGAATGTTAAATAAAAAATATAAAAAAAATATTTGGCTGAAAGCTGACCCAGTGATGCACACTGCACGACACTGCGTGACAAAGGTATAGATAGGGGCTCTGGGGCAAGGGATGCTCTGTCATCTTGGTGCTTGGGGGTGGGGGCAACAGTGGGAGGGCCTCTAGTGTCCTGGCCCCACTGGTGGACCTCCTGATGGCACCTGGTATTTCTGGCCACTGTGTGACACAGAGTGTTGGACTGGATGGGCCATTGGCCTGATCCAACATTGGCGTCTCTTGTGTTCTTATGATGCACCAAGGGCTGTGGGAAGAAGCTCTTGTCCTACCAGGAGGCAACATCAAGGGAAGGCCTCGGCCTCTATGCCCTGTTGTTGGCCCTCCAGAGCGACGTGGACAGGATGCTGGGCTGGATGGGCCGCTGAGTCTGAACCAGCAGGGCTCTTGTTATGTTCACCGAGCACGGCCTCTCCCTCGCTGGCCCCCAAGCCTTTTGATTATTTATCTACTGCTCCTGTCATGCTTGGAGCTGCGGTGGCTCAAGTGGTTAAGACGCTGAACTGCAGGCTGTGGAAGGTCGGTAGTTCGGCAGTTCGAGACCCGAGTGTGTCGCATGACGGAGTGAGCTCCCGTCTCTAGTTCCAGCTCCTGCCCACCTAGCAGTTCGAAAGCAAGAAATTGCAAGTAGATAAATAGGTACCACTTCGGTGGGAAGGGAACAGCGTTCCGTGCTCCTTGGTGTTTAGTCATGCCGGCCACATGACCACGGAAACGTCTTTAGACAGCGCTGGCTCTTCGGCTTTGAAACGGAGATGAGCACCGCAACCCTAGAGTCGGACTCGACTGGCTTTCGAGCGAGGGAACCGTTACCTTTACCTTTTACCTCTGTCATGCTGCTGGCGTCTTTCCACTCCCAGCCCGGCCTCCCCTTCTGCCTTCCGATTAAAGTTCCTGAAGGAGGACTCTGACTGTGACACGATGTCGCCCTGCGACACCCATGCTGACCACTGGATTCTGGGGACCGACACACCAGAAGACAGAGGTACAATTCAACGAGATCCGAACACGCTGGGGAAGTGGGCGGATGTGAACAAGAGGCAATTCAACAAGGATAAGTGCCGAGTTCTCCATCTGGGAAACAAAAATGAGGATACATGCATACTGTGTGTGTGAACAAGACCTTAGGGTAGGGGTGGTCCGAAAGTTAAATAGGAGCCGCCAGTGTGATGCGGCGACAAAAAAGGCTAATGCAGTCTTGGGGTGTATCAACAGAGGCATAACATCCAAATCGCAAGATGTCATAGTCCCGCTGTACACTGCATTGGTCAGGCCGCACCTGGAGTATTGTATGTAGTTCTGAAGGCCTCACTTCAAAAAGGATGTGGACAGAATGGAGCGCGTGCAGAGGAGAGCGACGAGGAGGATCGGGGGCCCGGAGACCAAGCCCTATGAGGAAAGGCTGAGAGACTTGGGAATGTTCAGTCTGGAGAAGAGGAGGTTGAGGGGGGACAGGATGGCTCTCTTGAAGTATCTGAAGGGCTGTCCCTTGGAGGAGGGCAGGGAGCTGTTCCTGTTGGCAGCAGAGGAGAGGACTCGCAAAAATGGGTTTAAATTAAGGGCAGAAAGGTACCGGCTGGATCTTAGGACAAACTTCTTTACAGTAAGAGTTGTGCAACAGTGGAACCACCTGCCTAGAGAGGTGGTGAGCTCCCCCTCCCTGGCAGTCTTTAAACAGCGTCTGGACAAACACCTGTCAGGGATACTGTAGGCTGATCCTGCACTGAGCAGGGGGTTAGACTAAATGGCCTGTATGGCCTCTTCCAGCTCTGTGATTCCATGATTCTATGACCATCAGTGAGCACAAGAAGGTGCATTGTGACAGATGTTCACACCGCTGCATCTGGGGTAAGCTTAGGAAGAGATCCTGAGCTCCTTGGAGAGATGGCAGGATTCAACTGTGATACACAGACTATATTTTACATGATGCTACCATTGTACTGTATTGCAGTAATGGAACATTGCCTGCCATTTTTTTAAAGAAAGGAAACTAAGCTGTGTGTGATGCTATAATAATACTCAAAACATTTGCACAAACCTATCTGTCTATACTTTAACAGCACACAAAATTTAATAAGGTTATCTAAGTACAGAATACAAAAATTGAGGCAGGTCCAAAAGTAATCTTATTCTAATGAAGTCTCCAGGTAATGCTTTCATTTCCAAGGTCTTCATCATTTCTTTCCTAAAGTCTGTCAAGACTTGTCAAGGTTGGAAAATCAATACTCCATATTCTCCATAAAGCAATAAATATATAAGGCATATATCTCAGAGTGAATGTCAGGTAGGCATTCGTAACTTCAACGTTTCATTTGGACCTTCTTCAATTTTTGTATTCTGTACTTTATTACATTTTTTGTGCTGTTAAAGTACAGACAGATATATTTGTGTAAATGTTTTGAGTATTATTATAGCGTCACACACAACTTTGTCTCCTTTCTGCTCTTCAAGTTGGCAGCTGTGGTTCTTTCATTATTTCCATTTTTTAAATAAAAAAAGACATCTAGTACCTCCAAATTCAGAGGCACTAATCTCAATGCCAGAAGGCAACACCAGGGGAAGACTGCAGCCTCTATGCCCTGTTGTTGGAACCTCCAGAGGAGCAGGTTGGCCACTGTGTGAGACAGGATGCTGGATCAGATGGACTATCAGTCTGATCCAGCAGGGCTCTTCTCATGAAGGCCTCGGCCTCTCTGCCCTGTGGTTGGCCCTCCAGAGGAACTGGCTGGCCACTGTGTGAGACAGGATGCTGGACTAGATTGACAACCAGTCTGATCCAGCAGAGCTCTTCTGACGTTCTTATTAGGGGAAGGCCTTGGCCTCAATACCCTGTTGTTGGCTGCCCAGAGGAGCTGGCTAGCCACTGTGTGAGACAGGAAGATGGATTAGATGGACTCTTGGTCTGATCCAGCAGGGCTCTTCTTATGTTCTTACTCTACTGAACCTTAAGAAGAGAGGCTAGGTAAAATAATTCTTTTTAAATTGAGAGAGGGAAGTTTTTACGATCAGCACACTAAATCTTAATTGGCTGAGGGGAGAAAAAAAACAGCTGCTCGTATTTCTTTACTGATTTTCATGTCAAAGTCCTAACAAATCCCAAATATGATGGGATTCTGCATTATAAATGCATCCACCTTTCACACAAGCTTAAATTTCCCATCTCCTGTTTTCTGGAAACAGGAAGCCAGAAACGCACCAGAGTCTGCTCTTCAGTGCTCAAAAACAGATTATGCAGTTTGAAGTCTGGTCTCAGCAAAGCAGACCGCAAAGCGTCTTGGCTATGTGGGTATTCCCTGATCTGGATGGGCCAGGCCAGCCCGATCTTGCCAGATCTCAGAACCTAAGCAGGTTCAGACCCAGTCAGTACTTGGATGAGAGACCACCACGGAAATCAAGGCTTGCTTCGCAGAGGCAGGGCATGGAAAAACCACCTCTGCTCACCTCTTGCCTTGAAAACCCTGTGAGGTCGGCTGCAACTTGATGGCCCTTTCCATCACCACGTGGCTACACAAGAGCAAAACACACATGACCAAGGTGCAGAGAAGAACAGGACATAGAAGAAGGAAGAGGAGGAGGAGGAGACAGGATTTATACCTGGCCCTTCACTCGGAGTCTCAGAGTGGCTTACAAACTCCTTTCCCTTCCCCTCCCCACAACAGACACCCTGTGAGGCAGGTGGGGCTGAGAGAGCTCTCTCGAGGACTGCTCTTTCAAGGACAGCTCTTATCAGAACTACAACAAACAGGACCACGGTGTATAATAGCTAGTAAAACAGTAAATCACCGTGTACAATTAAACAATATTTGTTGGGTTTTATATGCAATGTTTAGAATTCAATTATTAACAAAATTACAACAATAACACTACAATATGCAATATAGAGCTTAGCAGTACATAGAGTAATACAGTACTAGTTACAGACAAACGACGGAGTTCTAGTACACTATCCGTTTACGTGTCCTTCTTCAGGTTTGTCAGTCTGTAATTATTTCTTCATTAGAATGAAGTGCTACAAAAGCCATATTTCAAAATGCTAATTCTTATACAATTTTTTGATGTACGCTACCGCGCTTAGATTCTGGTGACTGGGGAGCTCCTATAGCAAGCTCTAATGTGACTGGGTCTACAGCATATAATAACTGGCTAAGCTTCCCTCAGTCTTTGTTGTTATTTTGTTAATAATTGAATACTAAACATTGCATATAAAAACCAACAAATATTGTTTAATTGTACACGGTGATTTACTGTTTTACTAACTTATCAGAACTACGGCTTGCCCAAGGTCATCTAGCCAGGTGCAAGTGGAGGAGTGGGGCATCAAACCCGGTTCTCCCAGATCAGAGTCCGCGCTCTTAACCACTACACCAAACTGGCTCTCTTGGAAATTACGGAAAAATTTGGATCTAGAAATGACGGGAAGCACTTGGAGGTGCTCATTTTACTCGATTTACTTTCTAAAATAAAATCACTCTGGCTCTGTTCCGTTACGGTTACCTGGAATAGCTTCGTGGGCTGTCAAAACCACACTTATAATGGGGTTCTTGGGTCCCGAGACCTGGTCTGCTTCCTTTGCCAAAAGGCTCTTCTCCGTTCTCTGTAGCCGTGGCCTCTTAGGTGCCTTTTCTCGCTCCTCTTCCCTGCTGTCAAGGTCAGCGTCAGAATCGTCGCCTAAACAGCAAACATCAAAAAGAGCTTAAAAGAAGGATAGGTGCATTTCCCTTTTATACCGCAGCCGACGCCATCGGTAGCTTGGCAAGGCGTACGGTTCTGTCCTCGAAAAAGGAAAGCGGCTTGTAAAAAAGATGAGCAGAAAATGTGCTAATAAAAAACCAAGAGGAAGAGAGAAAGTTATATTCTGTGACACAAGACACAAGGCAATTGATAAACCGTGGGCCACAATCCAGTATAGGGAGGCCAGCCTCCAGGTGGGACCTGGGGATCCAGCTCATCTCCAGGCTACAGAGATCAGTTCCCCTGGAGAAAACGGGTGCTTTGGAGGGTGGAATATACAGCATTGTAAGACGCTGAACTGCAGGCTGTGGAAGGTCGGTAGTTCAGCAGTTCGAGACCCGAGTGTGCCGCATGACGGAGTGAGCTCCCGTCTCTAGTTCCAGCTCCTGCCAACCTAGCAGTTTGAAAGCAAGAAATTGCAAGTCGATAAATAGGTACCACTTCGGTGGAAGGGTAACAGCGTTCCATGCGCCTTGGTGTTTAGTGGCCACATGACCACGGAAACGTCTTCGGACAGCGCTGGCTCTTCGGCTTTGAAACGGAGATGAGCACCGCAACCCTAGAGTCGGATTCGACTGGCTTTCGTGCAAGGGAAACCTTTACCTTTTATCCCACTGAGGTCCCTGTTCTCCCCAACTCCATCCCCAAATCTCCAGGAGTTTCCCAGCCTGGATCCTGCCACCATACCACCACCACCCAAATCCCCTGCTGGTGGTCATTGGGGGACCTGGCAAACCTTATCCAGGAGAACAAGGGGGCTGATATGCGACTTGCAAGTCGGCAAGATGCAACTGTTTGAAAAGTCAGGAAGTTCCATTTGGGGTTTCATTAGTAAAAAGAGTGAGGGGGGGCATCACTACTACGGCGTGCCTGAGGGCTGGTGTGGTTAGAAACAGGGGAGGTGGTGAGGGGTGTTGGGAGCTGATCCATAGGCCCCAGACACGTTCGAGGCTAAGCCCATACCCTGATGCATTATGCATCACGGTTCCAAAAGACGAACTGAGGGAGACTTACTCCCTCTGCGACCCAAGGCAGCTGACCAGACAAGAGAACTATGGCAGGAGTCTTCGGGCTCCTTACAGAGGAACAAGGTTTTACCCAAGCATGAGCTTTTTTGTGTGTGTGCCGCATGACGGAGTGAGCTCCCGTCTCTGGTTCCAGCTCCTGCCAACCTAGCAGTTTGAAAGCAAGAAATTGCAAGTAGATAAATAGGTACCACTTCGGTGGGAAGGGAACAGCGTTCCGTGCACCTTAGTGTTTAGTCATGCCGGCCACATGACCACGGAAACATCTTCGGACAGCGCTGGCTCTTCGGCTTTGAAACAGAGATGAGCACCGCAACCCTAGAGTCGGACTCGACTGGCTTCTGAGCAAGGGAACCTTTACCTTTAAGCTTTTGTGAACTAGAACAGGGATAAGGCAACTCAGAAAACAGGACAGAAACGACTTACAGGGGTTAACACAGCTGATAATTTAGGAGACGAGAGAGCAGTTAGCAGCCAACGTTTGTATTCTTTTATGGGGAATACTGGCCTTCCTTCAGCCTCAGCGTTCTTCCAGTGTACATGCGAGCTCCTTTCAGGAACCACAAATGTTTCACTATTTTCCCTGAGGAATTGGGGCTTTGGAACAGATACAGTCTCTCCGTCAGCCTGCTTCATCACCAAAGATAGGTTCGAAGACTCCCAAAGGGGGGAGAGAGAGAAAGAGAGATCCTCTCCCAACTCATGCTCTAGAGACGCAAACCCCATCTTCACACATTCCACTGGTTTAGCCTGTTTACACAAGAGGAAAAACTGAGAGAGATCCTCTCCCAACTCATGCTCTAGAGACGCAAACCCCATCTTCACACATTCCACTGGTTTAGCCTGCTTACACACAAGGAAAACTCTGAGACACGACCAGTGTTCCCTCTAAGCTGAGTTAGTGTGAGCTAGCTCACAGTTTTTTAGCCTCCGGCTCACACATTTTTGTCACAGCTCAGGCAGGATGGCTCCAGAGCAAACTGATTTATGCAGTAGCCAAATCAACTGCTCACAACTTTAATGCCAGTCGCTCACAAAGTAGAATTTTTGCTCACAAGACTCCACAGCTTAGAGAGAGCCTTGGACATGACCCCTCCAGTCTCTCTTTCTCTAAAGGTTCGGACCCTATCTGGCTGAGCCGACAGCGTCACGGCCTCTTCTCCCTCCCTCCCCCTCCCGTCTGGCTCCTCTAGTCCTTCTCGGTATTCCGACTGGCTGCCAGCTGCCACCTGGAGATTGGCAACCCTACAAAGTAGAAGTCTACCAGTATTTCTCATTTTTGCCAGGACGGCGTAAAACTGACTTCCATATCCAGAGGCAGTGGACTCCAGGAGACAAACACTGGGGATGGCTGTCACCGCTGAGTCCTGGTTGTGAGTCTGGCTGACCACTGTCGGGAGACGGAATACAGGACCAGAGGGAACATGTGGTCCGATCAGGGGTCATTTCCTGCGGGAGCGCACAGGAGCGGACCTCCGGCAGTAAGGAGCCCAGGGGGCGGGCACATGCAACAAGCCCCGCCCCCTGCTCCAAGCAGCCCTCAGTCGGGCCACGAGGAACAAGAAGCAGCCAGGTAAGTTGCAGAGCCCCCCCCCCCCGACCTGCCTTCAGGTACAAGCTCTCCCTCCTCTGCGAAGGCAGATCTGCGCGTTCCCCCCATAGCTAGCAATCCAAAACAGTCCAGTGGAGCCTGAGCGGTGGGTGTTGCCTTCTGACGCACTTCCGGTGATGTCAGGGGGTGTGGCGTATGCAAATAAGTTATGCTAATGAGTTATGCTAATGAGCTCCTGCACCTCTTTTTCTACTAAATGACCCCTGGGTCCGATCAAACAATGGCATGGTGCTTATGTTCCGGATCCTCCTGGAAGACGGGCAGTGACAATTCTTCCAAGGCCCGTCCGGAACAGAGTCAAGCCTTCCTAAGCCCATCGAAGTCTAGCAGCATAACACCGCCTAAGATGTCTCTGTAGGCACAGCAGATTCGAGGGATCTGGGGAGGGTTCTCACGCTGACCACTTGACTACCCGGCCACTTCTGAATCCCACCCCCAGGCAGACGCCCTCCTTGCCCGCTCCTTTTGCCTTTCTGCTCAGCAATCAGGCTGAATTTGTACTGCAAGCAGTTTTAAGGATGAACGGTCAATGTTCATTAACTTTTAAAATCCAAGGATGGGTCAGCAAACGATAATGGGCAAAGGGAGAAAAGGCAATTTCTGCCAATTATGTCACTGATGGCCACTGGAAATGTCTTTTATGTCTATTCATTTGCAAGCTGTAATTTTTTAAATGACACATTCATAACGGACGGGCGGGGGGGGAGGGTCAGAGCTGCAGAAACAGGCAGGGCAGGGAAAGTTGGCTGAATCCTGCCCCCTCCCTTCCATGATCGGGGAGGAAGAGAAGACAGCATTCACAAGGAGAGAATTCGCTACTGTGGCCAGGCCAAAGCGATGATATAGCATCCATTAGCGAGCTGCATTTTAAAAATGATGTTTTAATAAAAGGGGGAAAGTAAGAGTTACCCGGGCAGCGAGCAACACGCCAAGGGATATCTGACATGTCTGCCCCCAGACAAGTTTCTCCCTTTCCCAACGACTGATCAGCTCATAGACAAGCTGTTGGGTTAGGGTTGCCATCTGCCTGGTGGGGGTGGGGGTGGTGGAGGATCCGCGAGGGGAACCCCACCCCTAAACAGACGTCCCGGTGCATCATCGGTGACACACTGGCATCACATTGTCATCACACTGGCGACGGGGGGGGGATCCTCTACATTTTGGACAAAACTCTATGGTTTGTAGCCATTTTTACCATAGAGTTTTGCCCAAAAAGTAGAGCGTTGCCAACGTGATGATGTCACTTCCAGAAGTGATGTCATCGCATTGGCATCACATTGTCATCACACTGGCAACAGAGGGGGGGGGATGCTCTACATTTTGGGCAAAACTCTATGGGTTGTAGCCATTTTTCCCAGAGTTTTGCCCAAAAAGGAGAGCATTGCCAACGTGATGATGTCACTTCTGACATCAGCCCATCACTGATGTCCCTGCCCACCCCCAAAATGCCCCCCAAATCCCCCCGCCAGCAGGAGGAAGGCACCTGGCAACCTTTTGTTGGGGTTTACAGCATGGGCCAATATGGGGCCAAGGAGGGGGAAATGAAACATACAACAGCTTTCATTGCTGCTTCTTGCTAGAATTGACATGCTCCCAGTGGGAGAGGGAATCCCCCACTCTCAGGTCTTGTTCTCTGCTGCTGCTGGAAGTGGCCGTGGGAGAAGAATTAAAAGGGCCAGGTCAGGCTGGGTCAAAGAAAATTTCCCTGAAGTCTTCAGAAGTTTCTTCCTGAAGTCCTTCTATCCTTTAATACCTCCAAATCTCTGTTCCCTGCTTGGGGCGGGGGGGAGACTGGACGATCCTATTGTCTCTAGCTGGATCTAGTAGCATTTATTTTCTTTTTGGTGAATATTTTCTGTGTGTGTGTGTGTGCTTGTGAGCCTGGAAGTCATGGTGACTTCTGGCAGCCCCTATAGGGTTGCCGGGTCTCTTACCTCGTTGCAACTCTTGCCATAGAGTTTTCAGGCTGAATGCTAGAGCATCCCCCCGGCGACGTGCCCGGCATGATGACGTCACCCGGAGGTGATGTCATCACGCCAGGCA